AACCCAAGCTTCTTAATTAAGCCAGAGAAGGGAAATTTTTGTCGTCGATTTTCATTGACAAAATCATTTGTAAGAATTAATAGACATGTGAGTGTTATAACTTTTCATTTGACGTTTTACAGTACGGATAGCTCTGTAACAAGCGGCAAGATAATTTCATTTTTACATACATATATTAGTATCGTTTGAAATTAATGAATAATACTAATAATAAAAACGTTTTGATGGTGTTATCATGATTTTGGTTAAAACAATTTTGTCACACTGTGTCGCTGAAAGTTTATCTCAGTACCCAAGCAATAATTGTAACTTAAGTAAATTCTCTATTTAAATTTCTGAAAGAAAACTAAAGCAAATCAGTGTACACTCCATCACCTGCTGCAAATTATAGCCCTGTATCAAAGAAAAATAATTTTAAATCACTCAATAATGATGTTGATAATAATAGGAATAACAATAATAATAATAATCCGTCACCAGGTAACAATAGCCCATAAATGAACTGACCACCCAAGAGAAACAGAACCAGTTAGTACAAAATGAAAATGATGAAAATTAGGTCCTGTCATCAGATAACAACAGCCCATAAATGAACTGACTACCCAAGAGAAACAGAACCAGTTAGTACAAAATGAAAATGATGAAAATTAGGTTATCAGGAAAAGATCATCAATTAAAAGTGTCCTTTGACAGTGCGAACACATACTATTATCCGCTGAAATCTATTGCGTAAAATGACATGGTTTACGAGACACAATCACCTTTAATGTGTTACTAAAACAGAAAAACAAAATCATTCATCAAAAAACGATATCCAGGTTTCGTTGTATAATTTTCTAATTTGCACTATTTCTTTATCAAAAAAACTCGCGCGATGAAATATTACGATTAAAAATTGTTCCATCGATTGTTAATTGAAGAAAGCGTAGTCGAACACAATGTCTACCGAAATAATCTTTATCGTTTCTGACCCACAAAGTGGTATAACAAAATTTCAAGCACAATAACTCGTCGAGCGTAGATCTATAAAATTAAAAAACAATTATCGTAAAACATAAACACTTTTAGCAGGGACAAATTAAGGTAAAAGCGCAACCCATGTTCCTCTATATAATGTTTTAGTTTTGGCGACTTCACTAATGTATGTAGTAATAGAGACATTTTCATTTAGTTGGGACAGTACTCCATCGATTGTTAATCTAAAAAACGCGAGTCTATTACAATGTCTACAGTGACCATCATCTGGGTGTCTTGACCACATTGTGATATAACAGAATTTTAACGTTGTTAACTCGTAAAGCGTTGATCTATAAAATTAGTAAAACAGACACGATTAAAAATACTATACATACAAGTACATATTTCTAAACTGTTTTTCTAATTCTCTTTGAATCCTTTCTGAAGCTCCCTTCCTTCGGGCTATTTTTAAATCGATCGTTTGTCGTTCTTCCAGAATTCTGCAGAAAATGCTGGCAAATGATTCCTCCAAACGCTAAACTTTGTCCGTATAAATAACACCATTCAGCGCAAGGACAAGTAGACAAACAAATAGGTTGTGACATTACTTGCCTAAATTTCCGCCTGTGCTCTTCTTTACACAGATCACGCGCCAGCGGGTGCTTTTCGTGCAGCTTCTTTGCTTCCTCCATTGGATTGGCGATGGCTTTCAGTGCGATGGCTTGAAGCGACTCCATAGCAAAATCAGTAGAAGAAAAGGATAGACAGCCAAAAATTTGCGGACAGCAAAGCGATTGTAGTACTACGTACTGTAAAAGGTTTTGCTAAACAGTCTTTCTTATAAGAGCGATAAACAATGACTTGCTTACGCGCGCAAAAGTTCGGTCCGTTATCTCTTAATTACAATTTTGCNACCCACAAAGTGGTATAACAAAATTTCAAGCACAATAACTCGTCGAGCGTAGATCTATAAAATTAAAAAACAATTATCGTAAAACATAAACACTTTTAGCAGGGACAAATTAAGGTAAAAGCGCAACCCATGTTCCTCTATATAATGTTTTAGTTTTGGCGACTTCACTAATGTATGTAGTAATAGAGACATTTTCATTTAGTTGGGACAGTACTCCATCGATTGTTAATCTAAAAAACGCGAGTCTATTACAATGTCTACAGTGACCATCATCTGGGTGTCTTGACCACATTGTGATATAACAGAATTTTAACGTTGTTAACTCGTAAAGCGTTGATCTATAAAATTAGTAAAACAGACACGATTAAAAATACTATACATACAAGTACATATTTCTAAACTGTTTTTCTAATTCTCTTTGAATCCTTTCTGAAGCTCCCTTCCTTCGGGCTATTTTTAAATCGATCGTTTGTCGTTCTTCCAGAATTCTGCAGAAAATGCTGGCAAATGATTCCTCCAAACGCTAAACTTTGTCCGTATAAATAACACCATTCAGCGCAAGGACAAGTAGACAAACAAATAGGTTGTGACATTACTTGCCTAAATTTCCGCCTGTGCTCTTCTTTACACAGATCACGCGCCAGCGGGTGCTTTTCGTGCAGCTTCTTTGCTTCCTCCATTGGATTGGCGATGGCTTTCAGTGCGATGGCTTGAAGCGACTCCATAGCAAAATCAGTAGAAGAAAAGGATAGACAGCCAAAAATTTGCGGACAGCAAAGCGATTGTAGTACTACGTACTGTAAAAGGTTTTGCTAAACAGTCTTTCTTATAAGAGCGATAAACAATGACTTGCTTACGCGCGCAAAAGTTCGGTCCGTTATCTCTTAATTACAATTTTGCCGACATCGTTATTTTGCAGTCACCAACGCTAATTATCTTTTTGCCACACAATACGTCGCGAAAAAAAGAATTACGAATTATGACTTACTGTTAACTGCATTTTTATACATAATACCACGCAACTTCTTAAGTTAAAATCTGTAGAGCGTCAGTCTGCCAAAGAATGTTTTTTGAAAAACTAACGTTAAGCAAGCGTTTTTGTAAAATTAATTGACAAAACAAGAAGCGTGTGTCCAAGTGCTAGTTCGTTTTGCAGTAACAATTGCAAGCCTACACTAAATATTGTTTTTTCCACACAATACCTCGAGCAGTCTCTAAACGATGTACACTTTTATTATAAAGTCATATTCTAATCATTGATCTTTCAAGGTTTTTCTGGAGGGTGTATAATGTAAGGGAAAGTTTTGTTGTTCTCGTTATTGGAGCGATCAAAGTTTCAGTGTAATGTATATAGGTTAATGAGTTAATGTGAGCGGGAGAATGGAGCAATAATTTTGGCGCAATTTTGGCAAATATGTGTAAACTGTTTGGTCATTGACTTTTACCAAGGTGGTGCCTCCTAAAGGAGCAAAATACAAAAAAATCGCAGGTCCGCTAAAAAAAACGCCCACAAAGATTTCGTGCCACGCGCTATTTTCTATCTGAAAGGTTGCTCTTACTCAAAGCCTTGTTGGAAGAAAATGAGCAATCAGACATCTAAGGCGAACATAGTAAGCGCTTTGATACAATCAACGTTCTGCTACATTCGCGTTGAAATTAAAATATTATCTTCCTTTTTTTCCAACTTACGTACTCTGCATTTGTCCGTCCATGTTCGACAGAATTATTTACAGAAGAAAGTACAGTATCTGCGGAAAGCTCTTTGCAATTATCAGCTTCAAAGGTTCTCGTTCTAGGGCGAAATATACCCGCTTGGTTGTTCGTCGTTTTCTCTTCGTCTTTCTTTCCTCACTCAGTGATACAACTGGCTTGAGAGGACTCCAACGGCGCTGGTTTTCCATCGTTAATGGACAATGCGTGGATAAAATTGATTGTAGATCAAACTTAGTGAACTAAAATGATGATCCATTTGCCTGGCAAATCACTTGCAAAGCTCCATAGCCCAGACGTACTGTGGCCAGCCAGTGTTTCACTCACTGATACAACTGACTGATCGTTACTTTCTTCGAGGAGTTAAATGAGATATTTGATATAACGTATGGCGTACCTCAAAGTCTTATTTGATAGCTTCGTATCAGAAGGAACGTTAGGAATTTTGGCTCGAAGCTCAGGAAAAATGTCAAGTTCATCAACTGTGTCTGCTTCATCTTCCTGCCATTTGCAGAACTGGCCGCATGGGGCGAGGAACTTCTGGGGTCGATTTATTGTTGATTTTTTCTTTAGACGTCATGCCGGGAAAATAAGTCGCATCAGTCAAAAATAATAACAATAATAATAATAATAATAAATGCCTTTTTTTCTCATAAGATAAAAACTATATATCTTAAAGGCCGTAGAGATATTGAGCCCTCATGTGAATGTAATTAAAACGTTCGTGTAAAAGGTAAAAACAAGGAAGGGTGTTTGGATTCCATGGTGGCTATTGATGAGACAACACTCATAGATGAATTGGTCACAGCAAGGTAAACGAGTGGAATGATTTGGAGGGTGCTCAAGAGCGTAGCATACCACACAAAGATGGTGGTGTTCCTCCATTCTTCGCCTATCTCTTGCGCGATGATATGGGCGTTTACTATTATGCTTGTGGGTCGTTGTTGAAGGCATTAAAAACGAAGGATTAATTCCAAAAAAGTAAGGAAGGAGGTTGACGTCATCAAAAAAAGTTGAGATCATAATCTATAAATAGAGAAGTGATTATTAGGTATGATATCGTGGTTTATTTTTACCTGCCACATTTTTTTCTATTGTTTCAAAGCACATAACATAGCGCTCCCATTCCGGGCGCGTCATTCACGAATTGTCTGTTGACAATTTATTATCTCATAGCAAAGTGATTCAGTATTCGTAAACCGCAGAAGCGCCCGTGGCCCATGCTTCTTGTTATATTTTAAGTGGAAGTTATACATCAGAACTTTTGACAATTCGAAGATTGAAAAACCAGCATAGATTGGACGATTAAGACACAAAGCCAGATTATGCCTCCGGACTGCAACGATGCCTTGTGTTATGATGTTGAAATGATCAAACGATGGTGCTTTGAGAGTTTCTTAAGCCTCTTCTCATTATTTAACTAAATGTTCACTCTGTTTCGAAGGTTCTCCATCCATTTTCCAAACACTGCATTATTTAGTACTTTCGAAAAGTTCTTTTTAAATTCATTTGAAGCTCGCTTCTCTTCTCTGTATTGAAAGTGATGCCATCTTTTGTAGAGAGAGACTTCTTCAGACCTTAGGATGCGTAGAAAAGAGTTGGTACAACCAGAGTTTGCAGTTGAAAATTGTTTAATCTTGCTGACGCGTAGTTACAAGCCCTTCTCAGCTATGTCAGATCTCAAGGTAAAAAACACTCACAAGAGGTTCTATTTATATTGAACAATTAAGTTAATGGTTTTTAGCAGTTTTACATGGCATTCATATGTAAGGAAAAGGTGCTAGTAGGTGTCAGAGCTTAGAGGACAAAAGGAACCGAAACTGGGTCGATTTTCTGGAAATTTGCAAAACTAGAAATGTCTCTATCCCTGAATTGCTTTACAGAGGATCAAAACGATAGTTTGGAAGAAACTAAATTTTCCTAAGATTGTGTCGAAAGAAATTGTAGTTTAAGGTCAGGAAAGTAAGTGAAATTTGGCTGAAACTGGTTCAACAGAGGACAAAGAACTCAAAAGGTGTTAGGACGCGTCGTCTTAAGCTAGATTTAATGAGGTAAGTAAGAATGTATTATTCAGGATTGGAAGCAAAAGTGAGAACCGATTGCAGCTTAACACAAGCGAACTTCGTCAAAGAAATTGCTCATTCTTCCATCCACAGCTGAAAACACCTACTAAAGCAAATAATTATTTCTTTGTAATGAATTTGTTTTATGTTACCGAAATATACTCGAAGATGTGTTTCTCAAAACTAATTATATTTGCGTTAATATTAAGAGTTAAACCGTACAACTTGCCTTTTTTAGAATTATTTGAAACCCAAACACCAGTATAGAATAAAAATGTCGTTGCAAAACTCTATGTCCAAATATTCTTACTGATCTTTTGACTGCATTATGCGCAACTTATAATTGAAAAAAAGTGTGCCAGTTGGTTAGACACAACTGGAGGAACGTACATCCCGACAAAAGATAGTTGTATTGTGTAGTGAACACAATTCTTAACCGACCTGAATAAATTTGTATGTGTGGATATATAGGTTATTCTCAAGACCAAAGGAGCTTTGACGATTTACGTTTTTTTTGTCTTGCGGTAATTCAAAGCTAATGACGCAACAAAAGGTAAAATGTTCTCCTTAACCGCAGGACTATTGCTTAGAAACGACTCACTTTCTCCATTGTCAGCCCTTTTCTCAATATTAAATACAGTAAGCGAAATTTTCTCTTAAGGAAGCAAAGCTGAAATAAGAGATAAATATTAAGTTAAATGTCAGGGCGATAATAAAAGATTTCCGAACGAGTGTGCTTTTGATTTCGGACTTAGCGGTGTAATACAAATTGTTCCTATTCGATCTATTGTTTGAGAATTGATGAAGTCGGTTGGCTTTGACTATCGCCTTGAGACAGCTAATAATTATATGACGGAAAATATGTTTGTATATCTTGTAGTTTTAATTTTTTGCGTTTTTTCTTTTCTGATTATCTTATTCTGGGCCTATAATTGAAATTAGAGGCAGCAGCAGGTAGACCTGTAGGAACAGGTTGATAAGCAGCTACTGAGTTCTTAGAATTAACTCGTTGAATTTGTTTTTGTAACTGTTTAACTTGATCTGAAAGCTTTTGGTATTTGTCATCGTCTTTTGGCGCCGAATTGGTAGCCTCTATTGATTGTGTGAGAGGCGCTTGTGCTACGGAAGTGACCAGCTGTGTTAGAACATTTTTAGTAGTAGCTGTATTAGAGGAAGTGGATCGTTTTGTCACAGAATATTTGAGGCGTGCGGTAGTTCAGCCTCTAGCAATTTTTTTGGTTGTTGAAGTAGAACGTAACTTTTTAGGTCATCATCGTGTAAACCATCCATGAAATAACGCAAAGCTTCTTTATTGCCTATCTCTTAGCGCCGACACAAACGAGTAATATCAGTAACATAATTATCACGAGACTCGTGTGGCTGTTGTTTGCGTTGCGCATGTTGCTGACTTTAGTATCTAGCTATGCGGTCCCAAAACAAATGTTTGCAAAATGCGTCCTTTACGAGCCCCAAATCATTTTATCGGGAGGGGAAAGAGTTAAATACCATGTATTGGCAATATCCTTTAAATATAGAGGAAACGCACTTCATTGAACGTTCTCATCCCATGCATTGATTTGACTAATGCGTTCGAAAATATCGAAAAATTGTTCAGCATCTTGACAGGATAATCTCGAAAAATAGTCTGGTTGTAGGTTATGACGAGGCTTATGTTTGTTCTCCTCCATATGAGAAGACAAGGAGGTTTTGCAGTTGATGTAGTTGATTTCGTTGGTGTTCAGAAGCTTTTTCCATGTCAAGGTGTAATTGGGTCAAAAGATCAGAAACGATTTCTTTCACGTTAGCCTGTTGTTCCTCATTCATTGTTGTGTTAGGAGGACAAGTGCAAATATTGGTAGATTTTGCTGATTTAGTTTGCCGAGTTTTGATATGATAAGTAGGCGCGTGGCTCATACATACACATCCAGACTAGTTAATTAAGAGTATTAAATAAGTTTAAATAATAAACGTGAATTACTGTAAGAAAATGTTCAAATGGTAGAACCATAGGTTAATGTTCGTACTTGAATCTTGGGTCTTTGTTTGTTCTTGTCGTCAGGGCAACTGGTGAGAGTCCTTGTTCTCTCTTCAGCAACGCCTTCAGTCGTTAGAAAACGTCAGAAAGGCTTGAAAGGGACGATATGGTTAGCTATGCAGACCTGAGGAGTCGAGGAGTTGTCCCCCAATGACAGTGTCTGTTTGAGCTCTGCAGCCTTAAAAAGAAAGTGTATTGGCTGAGGTGGTGCTGGACGAAAATCCGTGGCAGGCTACGCAGTCGTCGCAGTGGAGTTGTGGTTTGTTCAAGAGGTCCACCTCGTCCTCTTCCACGACCGGTCATGACTGGACATGACAGGTGCCAATCCTAATCATTTGAAATAAAAAATTAGTAAATTAGTAAAAACCTGATTGGCTGTAAGGAATATTATCATATTTTCCTTCGAGGTTATGGCTTAATCCAAAAATCAGCTTCAGTCCAGTTAGTAGCCATTCAAAACAAAACAGAGAGATTTAAAGATCACAAGGAATGTATTGATATATATAAATCGCTCTTTCACACTATCGTTACTTCAAAAAGTACAACTAGTCAACTTTTGTACATTACATAAGTTGTCGTTTAAAGTCTTCCTTTAGGAATAATTAACAATACTAATTTGTCCCGCCTCTGCAATATATTAAATCAAAGTTGTTTACGAGTTTTGCAATAAAACTATTTAGCGTACAAACATAATTACAAGGATTATCCAGCAAAAAATGTTTACTTGGCAACCATTCTCAAACAATTGTTAACCGATTACACTAAATGAAAGTAGTAGAGCAACCGCTTGGGCATGAATAAATGAATATATAATGAGGTAGGTTTTTTGGGCTCTGTAAAGGCAACCGTTTGGGCATGAATAAATGAATATATAATAAGGTACGTTATGGAGGGCGGTGTAGTGGGTATAAATTGTGAATGAATGCATATATAATGAGGTAGGTCGAAAAGGACGGCTGTTCAGGCTTTTTTTTATTAACTGTCCCTCTTTTTCATGATAGTACTAAGTTACGAACTGTCCCTCCCTGTTTCAGGATTGATTGCATCACTGAACTCATGTTGTTTTTTTCCCAAAGTCAATGAAACGAAGTCCAAGTTTGATTCTTTCTTTATTTACAATGTTTAATTTAAAAAGCCACTTATTCGGTTCATTACTTCATTCAAAAAAAATGAGTCACTGTACAAGTCATAACATTTAAATCTTGCTTCCAACAACCAAAATTGAAATCGAAAACGTCTTTGAAAAGGAGAATATTTACAATATGTTACGAGATCGTCAATACATAATTGATGGTGGAGGATTCTAGCACAGTGATTGCATTTCTCTTTGTTGGGAGAAGAAACAAAAAAGGTCCACGCGCCAGGTTCGCGCCTAAGTTGTTCCCGAGTCGCTCTATAATAAAATACACAAAAGAAGAATCTAGGTCTACTACTACAGTCCTCTGTTTGTATCACCCGCTTGTCAAACACAAGGCGATATTTCTTGACTTTGGGGGTTAGACAGACTTTCTTGGTGGTCCTATTTGTGTCCATGTTGATGCTTACAGGTACCGCAATAGTTTGTGATTCATCCCCAGGGTTCTTTATCTCGGCAAAAATGTGACGTTTCATGGAATCAAAATTCAGCAGAGCACTGTCCTGTTCATCCATAGTGAAGCCACGTATTTTGCATTCAATATCCGCAAAGTTTATCACCGGAGGGGGTGGGGCCCCTCTCTTTTCATCATCATCATCATCATCATTTTGAAATGCCATGGGATCTTCAAGTGCGTCTTCTTCCGGGGTAGGTTCTACAATTGGTTGAATGTAGCAGCGATGTCCAACATAGGAAAATTGAAGTCAGTTTCTGCAAACCACATGGTAACATTGGTGAGGTGATTATTTAACCAGACATCTAAGGGGACATGACGTGCAGACTGAGCCCTGGTATTGGTAAACGAATTGGAATGAATAGTCAAGAGTAAGGAATACTGTTCCCTGTGTATATTTTCATTACTGATTACTCGTTTTAATCCCTGGCGTATGGCTTCGGTTAAGGCTTCGCCCAGGGGCTCATCTTGCGGTTCTCTCAACTGTTGAAAGGCCAAACGATACTTTTTTTGATGCACTATCCCGCGAAAAGACCTATTCCGTCCCACGGAGACTATTTCCGACTATATCGGGCTACTTCGGGCTATTTCAGACTATATCTAGTTACTTCGGCTTACGGACATTATTTACGTGGGAATCTAGGCTTACCTTCAATCTCCCTGTCCACAGCGTTCATGTCTAACAATTCCTGATTGCCTTCGTTCAGTATGGCTAAATAACATTATTATCAACGTTTATCAACCGCTATTCGCCTAAACGTTTCTTATAAAACAAGTTCTCTTTTCTTAGTTTATAAGAGTGATTACTTACCTTCGATTTGACTGTCAATGGCTTGATTAACGTTTTCCATTCTCTCGCTAACAAGGCGTGTTCTTGATACTCGCTCGACAATTGTTTGTGTTGAATGAACACATATCACTCACTTAGTGAAATTAATGTGTACACGCGTTTCGACCTTTGAGTTGCATTTGCATACAAACGCATCCAAGCGTAGGCAATTGACGTCAATCGAAGTTGATTTCGCTGAGCTAGGCAGGTTGTATGATGCATTTTGTTTTCCCTAAAGACTTTGTGAAACATGTAACGTTGCAAGTTTACTTTTTTCCCACGTTTTTGCGCTAAATCTGTTTCTTCAACTGAACCTTATTTTCTCTGTCTTTGGCTTAAGTGACTAAGCGACCATTTTGGTATTGTTTAGGTAAATAACCCGCCATCTTAATTGACGTCACTGCCATGATAGAGTGCACATTTTGGTTTTTAAACTTTTATTTCATCATGTGTTTCCCTTCTACTTCTTTTTCTAACCATTTTCATCATTTATTTCATGTTTTTCCTTCTACTTCTTTTTCTAAGTCTTTTTTCTTTTTTCATTACGTGACCTTTTGCTTTCTATTCAATGATTAAGCGGCCATCTTGATTTCTATTCAAAGTTTAAGCCGCCATCTTGGTCTCCTTTCAGGGTTTAAGAACCACCATATTGTTTCACGTTAATGGTTTCTATATTTTTTGCGTTTTAAACCCTCCACATTTATTTGTTTCCCTCTTTTTTCCAGTCAATAATTCACAAGCAATTACCGTCTACTTCTTTTTTATTTTAAACCTATTTACAAAGTGGGACGTGTGGAGGCGCCTAGAGCTCTCCGCCCAATTCAACAAAATCTTGAAATAATTTAAAATACAACGATATACATTTGTATCTCATCAACCACTGACTTTCAATTGTTGTATTTACATAATTCCAGAATCCAACAATATGTAATTCATCTAAGGTTGACCTATAGTTTAAAATTCTGAGACAATGAATGCAAAATTCCGTATCGGCTGTGTTTAGCCATCCTGTATACTGGCATTCTTTTCGGTAGACAAACTGTTCAAATACTTTTCTAGAAATATATAAATACATATCAAAATCAGTGGTTCATTACAATAAATACATGGTTTTCAGGAATATCTGGATAGGTTCTATTGAATTCACTAAAGGCCGAAAGAACGTCAAAGTCTTCATAGTTCATAAACTTCAAGTAGTCTTGGATTAGTAAACGGCAAAGTCCAAGGCGAAATTCACATCCGCATCTTTCTGCATTGTAAGCCCACAAACTGAACGGGCATTGCGGCAGAAGCCTGATTTCTAAAAAAATTCGTGTACAAGATATAAAACACAAAACCGACTGATTATTGCGTGTAACTTTCACTTGTTGATTAACACCATTTTAAGAATAATGCGAGACTACATTCCTTAGATTTCCAGTAATCCTAATGCAAACGAAAAATTCAAAAAGTCCACTTTGACGGAAAGTGGTAAATCTAAATCTCGTAGCATATCCACATCAATAAGTATGTTTCTTTCAACAAACATATAAAATCGAAATATAGAAAGAGATGCCTCCAAATACGGCAACCATTCTACTAGCATCAAGGTTTCTCTACAAAACAAAACAGAATGCAATTTCTTTTTAGTTAATTACCCTTTTACAACACAAATCCGACTATTTTAGCAAAATACAAAATCTGAAACAGCAGCCAGCCAAGATCTTTTAGCAGCATTATCTTTTTTAGCGTCTTTCTATAAAACAACGGAAACGTTTGACTGTAACAGCAGCAGCCCGTGGCTGGGAAACAATCTCCATGTCCAATTCAAATCATCCACATACTTTTATTCGTTCATTACATACCTGAATGCTTTTGCGTGCTACTTTCTGTATTTTTCAACGCATTTCGGGATATTCTCTCTTTTCCAAATCAATTCGCACGCTGTGCCAGGGAGGGAGCATCTTTCTTGCAGTTTCTCCTGGGTTCGGGACTGCTGCTAGGGCTAACTTTTCCAATGTGGTAGGGTCTCTGGACTGTCTATGAAGCGGTAATAATGGTGAAAATGCCATAGTGTAGAAACAACACGACTTAGTGTAGAAACAAGACTCTTCGTTCACAGCGTTAAGCGAAATGATGCTTCGTTTTTAGCGTCGTTCCTATACATTCAGAAAGCTTTTATACTCGATCATTGGTTTATTTCGTTCCCCTGGGTCTTCCTGCTTTCTGATTTGTCTCCCTTCTTCTCACGTGCCTCCACCACACCCTACAATTTGTATACAGCCCATGTTACGCATTGTTTTACACCATTTCGCAATCTTACAGTAAGCACGTTTTCTTACTAAAATCACGTTTCTACCTTCTACGCGTTTCTTTTTACTTTATTTTCCTCTTTCTAATACTCACTTTCTTATCTCCGTGACTTTTTTCCCTTCGCATTACTTGTAACTTGACTGATTTTTGAATGTTTAATTACATTTCTCTTTAAACCTTTCACTCTTTTCTCCGCAACATATCCGCTCTCCTATTTCCCTACAAACCTTGCCACAATTTGATACAAATGAATTGCTTTTCTTTGCTTTTCTCATTTTTCCTTTTCTGTAACGTTTTTCTTCACATTCAGGACTGTGCATGCGTTGTGGTTTGCCGATGCGCACTGGGCAGGGGACACTGTTTCTCTCCCACATGTGTAAACCTGACCCTTCATACACATATATAAATTCACTTTTTACAATCGTATAATAACAACTCATGTGTCCTTCCTTTATGCTACTTCCTTTTCCGGCTCATGACGTCATCGGCATTTTGATTGAGAGGCGGCGGCATCCTTTGTAGGTACTATATAGACTACCAATTGCTGCTTTGATTTAACATTTATTTTGCATGTTGTTTTCGCTCTTTTCCCTACAATATTTATTTGATTGTTGTTTTCGCTGTTTTCCCGACAACATTTATTTGCATGTTGTTTTTCTCAAGTCAATAACATTTTCAATGTTATTTTACCATGCCATTTCTTTCTTTATTCATGACCTTAAATTACAAGGCGAAACGTATGAGTTACCTACTATGACTCGCCTAAAATTCTTCAAATACACGAAAATATAACAAAACAATAACTAGCATCTGTAATTTCATCAATACACAACCTCAACCTAACAATTTGAACACAATGTGCGCACAATTCATCTTCTGTTGTGTTTTTCCAAAGCGTAAATTGGCACAATTGTCTGTTTTTCAATTCTTCTAAGGTTATTCTGGAAATATATAAATGCAACAGCATTTAACAATTTTTAATGAAAATCAGGAAACAAGTTTACTCTTTCTACTAACTCTTCTGGATACTCGTTAACGTTTTGAAATAACATCTCTATCCGGAATAGTATTATAGACTCTAATAAATTGTGTATTAGCTTCAAGAGATGTAAAGATGTCAAGGCTACGGAAGCTCGCGAAGAGGTTAAGAACATTGACCCGATAGAAATAAAATGTCCTGAAAATGTTGTCAGAAAAGAAGAAGAACTAATGGACCTTGATTACGTAGTGAATGAAATTCAAAATAAATTTTATGTTTGAAGTAATAAAGTGTGTTCATGAAAGGCTTTAAAGTCAGTGTGTGTTTGTCTTTATTCAAGTTAAAATGGGCTTAGCTCTCTCTATGCATCGATTTGATTTTTACCGGTACCGCCTTCTATCCAGAAATGTAGCTATTTTGTCAGGTGAAATAGACTAACTTAGAGAGAAATTCTGTGAACTACCATGAACTATTCTTGACAAGTTAAAATCTCTCCATTGAGAAGTATTTCCGTGAAAGTAAATTGGGGAAGATTGGTGGTATTTCTACAATTCGCTAATCAGCTCGGATTAACCGAGGAAGAATGGGAACTATTATTTCAATTTCTCATACCCACTCTCACTCGGATACAAGAGTAATTCATGTAGGTAATAATTATTCACTTAGCATCATGTGGTGGTGTAGAAATGGCTACGTGATCACTGTTGTATGGGTTAAAGTTAAACTTACACCGTTGTACTCAAACTTATATTGATTTGTACTCAATTTACAGGTCAATAGCACCTTTTTTCTTTTGCTTAACGCAGTGACCTTTGTTAAGTGTTAGTCTTTGTTGGTCACCAAATTTGAGAATGATTATGCAGATCACTTTTGGCGGAATTTTATCATTATCAAGTTACTCTCACAAAACGCGTACAGAACTCGTTGATCATTGCCTTAAACACCATTTGATGGCCCTAAAGGAGCCTTCTGTTTCTCCTACAATTGGGTGAATTTGCTTTAAGTGTTAAAAACGCTCATGAAACAGTTGAATTGGATAAATTTGAATACATCATGTTTTGGCGGACTAAATTGGCGCGTTTTTATAAAGCGCGTTTCCAGGTTCATAAAACGTGTACAGAACTCGTTGATCATTGCTTTCATGATATTTGGTGGCTCCTAAAGGAGCCGTTGTTGAAGTTTTCTACTGCTCAAGGAATGAGCGTAGAAAAGAAAGCAGTTCTTCGTTCAGTTCGTCCTTTATAGCCATTTCCTTCAAATGGCGTAGTTGTTTCGAGTGGGCGATCTTTCGATCGTCCACTTTGGACAAAACATGCTTCTCCAACCGGACCTCTAGCGTCTTCAATCGGACTACTCCACTAGTCTTTGGCAATGGCGTACCATCAACCAAAGAGTTAGTTGGAAGAGAAAGATCTCTCTCAACCTCACCGAGCGCTCTTTCGATCCAAAGTTGTGTTTGTTGGTCGAGATCCATGGTCAAACTGAGCACAATTTCAATTAGTTAAGGTTATATTCATAAATATTCTTTTGATAAATTTACCACGACCAATTGCAATACAGCAAGGGTTAAAATAACCAATCTATGACTCTTTCGCAATATGCCTTTTCCCACCGAAAAATTATTCCATGCATTCATTAAAAGGTATATTACGCAATATTCTTCTCACCTTCAAATCTTAAACTAAATGTTTAAGCTACAAAGGGACTAACCCTTCACAAAACTCAACTCAGTTAAGGGTTTATTTTTAACA